ATTACAGATTGAATATCACCCACACAAATCACAGTGCAAATGACTTGATCGTTGTTCTTTGGGAGAGAGTCAGTATATGGGTAAAACTCAGATCATACGTTGTTTCTCTCTTTTTCACCCATAACCCATATACCTTCTAAGCGCTAATATCTTTTCACTTCACGTGATATTTCTACGCACACTATTATAGTGCATGAAATTTGGCTCTATCCACTCCCAATAATTGGGTAGAGAGCAAAACACTGCTCATACTGGCTACTCGTCTTACACTTAATGACTAATTTATTTAAGCTCGCATTTCTTGGATGACGTGACTCTTGAATGTTACTTCATCCAATGATGTAACATTATTTACAAGTCAAATTGCAAAGTCAATCTGCCCAGCTCAATAGTCAAGATCATATACAGATCTATTGAGGGCTTACTAATTTCATAACTCCAAAACTCGCCAATCAAAACTGCGTAGTGTGCCGCTAACCATAGCGCACACATCAAATTTTGTTGTGCCGAACAAGGCAACAAAACCAGGGCGACTTTGAGTTATGTTTCCTTACTTTGGCTCAATTAAGGCTTGACCTAAAGTCTCCAAGACTTTTGCTCATCAAAAGAATAGGATTACATTGTTCACATTTGAACATCTCTACTAAGTCCAGGTCAACCAAATAACTTCCATAAGCTAAGTTAATTTAAAGAGAAATTCGTATTGGAATTAATTTTGATTAGCATAATATAATTTTGCCGCAAAAATCTAAATTAAATAGTGACAATATTACACAAGTCGCAAGATCGAAAATCCGCTATGCTCATAATCATCTCTTGCGTCACAGGTGACAATTATCCAAAATTTAATTTAATTTATGCGCAAAATATTAGTTTTCGGGAGTAAATCTACACATATTTCTTTCAACCGAACTACCTCCCATTGACTATGGCATGTCAAAGCATGATAAATTCCGTACAATAGCATCTTAATGTAAATTTATAAATAACTCATGCTATATTTATTTAATAATGGAATTCAAATAAATAAATAAATAAATAATCATGCTTCTTTAATTGCAACATAATACAAACCCAAAAAATATGTTGTATTCAATATTCAGATTATGCCATAATTAAAGTGTACATTTTAATTATGGCATAATCTGAATATTGTTTCTATTTATCAGTTTCTGGATTTTTTATTTCTAATTTTATGTGTGTTTATTAGTTAACGCTCTGATACCAATGTAAACAAAGTATAACATAGCGGAATAAAAATTATGGTCATACTTTTCAAACAGAGTCTGAATTGAAGGATCTCGTTGGTAAATCACGTGCTTCCTGAATCTGGTCAATCAACCCAGCAATGGGATGATATTACAATAGTGAATATCACCCACACAAACCACAGTGCAAATGGCTTTGATCGTTGTTTTTTAGGAGATAGTCAGTATATGGGAAAAACTCAAACATACGTTATTTTTCACTTAATCACCCATATTCCATATATCAGATATATATTTTATTTATCTCATTTATTCATATTTGTTATATGAGATAATATCTGATATCTATATCATCTATCCATATCAGGATATGATAGATATTTATCCTGAGTGGCTATCCAAATAGGTTTGAATTCAAATTTAAAACCCATTTGGATAAGGTTCAAAAGGCTGAAAAGGGTCATGCCACATGGGCGTCTAATTTCTAACCCAATGCAAATTAAAAAAAAAAATTACAAATCAATAATACCTTTATAAACATTAATAACTAAAATTTTAAACTTTTATATATCTATATCTATAAATATTTTTTCAAAAGACCACTATTGTAATTTCAAAAAAAAAAAAGAAGGTATTCGTGCATCGTTGATGTAGAATCAAGCGTCCAATAATTGGCCAACCACCATTTGCAGTTGTTCCTCCCCTTCCTTTCCCACGCATTTCTCTCTCTCTCTCTCTCTCTCTCCGTTTCGAAAAATCTCCACCATGTTCGCCTCTGTATTTGTATTTTCATTCAACACCAATCTATCTTCCTTCCTAGATTTGTGATCTTTCCATTCAACGGCTTCGATTCGCACATTCCACACGTGATTTTTTAGCCAATTCAAACGATCCTAAACTCTCTCATTCTCTTTAATTTGTTCATCAATTCATCCTAATTAAACAATATTTATCACTCACTCATGACACATATGGATCATGTGTGTATATGTATATGTTAGAACTTGGATTTTTGTATATTCTCTGATTAATCAATTTTATGTTTGTTTTTTTCAGTTCCCAGATTATTGATGCTTGAATTCGCGTAAAGGTGTGTAATTGCGAATTGTTTTTGGAAATTTTGTATTGGTATGATATAATAGTGTATTGAATTGTAGTGGGTTGTGGTTTGTTTATTTAATTAACTTGTTTTTCTTTAAATTAGGGATTTGTTGAGATGGTTACTGGGAGTAAGGTAGATATGTTTTCTGATGCAAATGTTCGGATGAAACTAGAACATGGGATGATAAGAGGATTAAATGGTAATTTAGAGGGTAGTTTACAGAGTGAGCTTGAATTTATGCTGCGTAATCGAGAAGCTATTGATCAGGAGAGGGATCTCAATATATTTAGGAGTGGCAGTGCTCCTCCCACAGTAGAGGGTTCGTTGAATGCCATAGGTAGTCTGTTCAGGAATCCAAATTTTGCACTGATTGACCATAACAGTATTAATAGTAATGGACAATTGTCAGAACAAGAAATTCGATCACACCCTGCTTATTTATCGTACTACTATTCACATGAGAATCTTAATCCAAGATTACCCCCACCATTACTGTCACGAGAGGATTGGCGTGTGGCACAAAGGTTTCAGGCAGGGGGGTCGTGTTTTGAAGGAAGTGGCGATTGGAGGAGGACGAATTTGGTCGATGTTGGTGGAAATTCATCATTATTCTCAATGCAGCCTAACTTATCTGTACGGAAGGCAGAAGATGAGTTGACGGAATTGAGGAAAGGTACTCAAAGGAATCTCTCAGGGCAATCCTCCACTGAATGGCTGGACAGAGGCTCTGATGGTTTGATTGGGTTGTCAAGCACTGGATTGGGTGCAAGGAGGAAGAGTTTTGCTGATGTCCTTCAGGTGATTGATCTAGGTTGGAACTGGATTTTGTGATTTGTGACACAGTTTATAATTTCATTGAAGATTTTCCTTGTGAAGTTTCTTCTTTTTCTTCTATTATTATTACTTTTATATTCTTATATAATCATGGTGCTTTCTTGTGCTTAAAGAAGCTTTCTTTTTCTTTTTTCTATCTTTCTTTCTTTCTTCTTCTTCTTCTTCATTTTTTTTGTTTGGGTTCTTGTTTTTTTGTCTTTGCAGTTTGATGAAACATAGTGCTTCATTCTGTTAGGCATGTGCCTAAATACTAGCTGTTGAACTTCTGTAAATAGGGCTTTGCCAATTGATCGTTCAATTGGAACTCAGAAATGGGTACCACGTGACTTCTAAACTATATATCACGTGCCTACGTTCTGATAAGTGTGAGTCCTGTCATTCATGGTTTTCACAGCCACTAAAATTGTGTTTTATTTTTCTTTAAAATTTTTCTCTCACCATCTCAGTAATGATGTAGTGTATAATTGTCAAGAGTAGATTTGACTACTTACTTTTTGGTTATATCTTCTATATCAAGATTTGATGTAGCTTTGTATTGCTTTCACAAGTGGATTTGATGTGCCGTGTAACTTGTGGTTTTTCTTTTTCCACTTCTTCGTCCATGCTTTCTCATTTGCTTGTTCGCATTTGAAATGATCTTCAAAATCTGTAATGAATGATGACAGGATGTGCTTCTCTTACTTGGGAAACCAATAGATTGAAGCCTATCACTATGTCATTTAATGTAACGGAGAAATTATTCGCTTCATTACAAGGATCCTGGAATTAAAGGTGCATGTTTTGAGTGTTTGAAGTGCCATTGAAGGTGAATTCACCTGCTCAAAGTCAGAAGGTATTTGATGAAAGTCTTGATATTTGAAATGGAAGAAATCCCTGCTACTGTGGAAGATATAATCATATAACTTACTTATATAAACCTTTTTTTGTTGAATAGTAAATTTGTATCAAGAAGAAATGAAAGCAGGGGACTTTCATTAAATTGATGGAGATGTAATACCATATTAGCCAATCAATCCCTCTAAATCTAGTACTTTGGCAGTTGGTAAAAAAATTGATTGATTTGAAGCAAAGACTCAAGATGCTTTACAGTAACCTTGAACTGAGTTAAGCTACAAGAAGCACTTTAAAATATTTTATATAAAATATTTGCAAAAATTTGTTGTAAAACCTTGGTTACATACTATAGCTATATCTCCTAAATCGTAATCTATTCAAGGTTGTAAGAAGGATAATACTGGAAAAAGATCAGACAAAATGAAGATTTTTGCAGGTATATTGGAAAATTGCTCATGCAGGCTTTTGGGATTTGCAATTACATATATTCAGCAGATATGTATTGGAATTGCTTTTGAAGATATGAATCCTGCATTAACTTACGTACATGCTTGCCTGTTTAATGTTGATTCGCTTTAGTGAGACGATTGCTTGATGTAGAAGTAAAAAACAGCTTGGCAGTATGTATGCTGCATATAGGGTAGTTTTATATACAAGTGCACATTATGCTGAGAAGTTAGATACAAGAAAAATGTGGATCAAATGATGGATTAGTACTCTTACAAATTCTTTATGCCATGTTTATGTGAAATTTGATAGATGTGACAATTTAGGCAAGAACTCTTGTTTTAGGGATTTTGACAAAAACCTAGAGCACGAAAAAGTTTTTCTTTTCTTTATTTTTTTGACTCTTTAAAAGAAGATTTTTTGGGAGTTTGAGGTGTTTTGATTTTTGAGGTTGAAGTATGGGTACTGAACTTTTAAATTCAGGATACCTAGAGATAGTATCATATTCAACCTTCTCAGCAAATTTGTGACATGTCCATTTATTTTAGGAAATTCTGGTTACTTTCTCCTGAGTTTCTGTTCTTTTCTTATCTCTGAATTTAGCATTTACTTTTCATTTTGCCATTCAACTTGGCACTGATTCATAGGTAATGCTTATAGTTTATTGTGGTATTGAACTGCCTAAAGTTTTTCAATTGTTATGTAACTCATTCACACATTAAATGTACATTACACCTATGTATCAGCTGTTATGCCTCATGCCATATGTACTCCAGAGTCCAGAGATCTAAGATCTCCCTCTTTTTTTAATTTATTTTTTCCCTTTATATTTTGACCAATAAGAGGATCGTGGTTGCCTACTGTTTCATTTTTAAGGCAGGATGACTGTTTGGAGGATTGCTTCTTTTTTTTTTCTTTTTTCTTTTCCCCCCATTAGAATTACGTTAGATCTTCTTTGTTTCTGAGGGATTTATAAGCCTAGTTAGCTTTTATGCTTAGAACATGCATGACATAATTTAAGCACCATAATGTATTACTGGTTTGAAGTGCTCATATCCATTTTCAGACATAAAAACAGCCATAACTGAAGTGTTATTTTTTTAGCTTTTAAGCATGTTATGTTCTTTATCCCCTCCTGGTTCAGTTCTTGTTACTTTTTTTTTTTAAGTTCTTTTTCACCATGTATTCATGTTCAATACTTTTGTTTGTTTTTTATTTTTGGTGGACTAATTTCTTGGTCAATAATATGCTCTCTCTCTCTCTCTCTCACACACACACACACACAACTGGTGTGCACTTGTGTAAAATAATTGTATGCATAATATTGACATCATTCTATTTCCTTGTTTCAGAGCCCTAGTTTCTGTCAAGAGCAGGTCCAGAAAGTTTTCTTTTGGGGAGAAGGGGATTGGGGGTGCATATATAGTGAACTTTTAGAATCCTTAAACTAATACATGAAAAATAACTTTTATAAAACAATCTTGATAATATTTGTACTACAATATATCTAAAAAGTTGTGTATAATAATATTTAGAAGTGTCTTTATCTCAAAAATTAATTGTCCAAATCATCATATATATTCTTTCATGTAAAAATAAAAAATACTAATACAAAGAATATGGACTGCTTATTGTTAATATGTATATTTTATTATATTTCAGAGTGTAATTTTCTTTTTATAAAAGAAATTCCTGAGAATAAACATCTCATGTACAAATTTTTTGAGATATTCATAGAATTAAATGAATATTATGTATTAGTTTAGTTGATGAAAGGATTTTAGCGAGTAATGTAAAGAAATATGTTGAGGATATACAAGTTACTGTTGATTACCAAGTATAATTTCAAAATGGAATAATTTCTCACATTGATTAACATAAATTGATGAAGGAAACAAACTAAAAATTTGGGGAAATGAAAGGACTTGTTGGAGAAAAGGAAAATTGAACACCACAAACAAAACTATAGGGGGCCTTTTAAACAACAAAAACTTCATGGGGAGGGGGTAGGTCAGTGAGAGGTGCAGCTTATTAGGAAAATTTTTCAAATACTCTTTTCTTTTAGTTGATTTGATAGGGGAGCTCAATTTTTCTGTTGAGGCTTTGGAACTTCTTCCTGCATCACCCCGTCTGGCAGTATATTAAAACACATGTTTACTAATAAAAAGAAAGATAGCGTGAAGGAGGCATTTGGTGATTTCATTAACATTTTGGTGGGTGTGGCCTCTGCCCACTCGCAATTTTCTCATCAGCACCATGGAGATTATTGTATATAGAGGCATTTTGGTGCTTCCTTACAGCAATTTAAAAATAATTTTAGGATTTAATTGAACTTGCATATCCATGTAATAGATACATTCAGTCTTATGCTGCAATGCAGACATCTTGTTCAGCTGTTGATTAAACTGAATATTTTTTTTTTGCAGGATGGACTTGAACAACCTGCTTCCTTATCAGGTCATCCCTCACGCCCTTCCAGTTGTAATTCATTTGGTGATATTGTGGATACCTCAGGCATCTCTAGTCGCCGTTCAGCAGAATTATGTAATGGAATGGAATTCACAGAGGCCTTGCATCCTGGCGCTACTAACCCAGGTCTGCCTAGAGTTCAGAGCCTCGGTTCAGTATTTTCTCATTCTTTCACTTCTGCTATGGCTGCATCTCTGTTGAGGAGTAGAACCACCGAACCTCAGCTGAGTGGAAGGTCCCCAAGTCCTGGTCTTCCTCCCATGGGAAACAGAGTTTTCCCGGTTGAGAAGAAGAATATTATTGGTTCGAATGCCTTTAATGGTCTTTCTTCTAGCATGACCGAGCTTGCTGATATTGCAGCTTCTTTATCTAGCTTTAACTTGTCAAAAAGTGAACTTAGTCATGAAGATAGTGTTTTGCAGTCTCAACTCCAAATGAGATTTGATAAACCTAATCATCTGCTGGATATGTCAAATGGTCATAAGCAGAGTCTACATCAGCCATTTGTTGATTCCAAAACTGAAAAGTTGACCATTCCTACCAGCTATGTTAACTTAACGGGGAAGAATGGAATTGTAACAGACCAAAATCTTTCTAAGTTAGGTTTTGATGGACATGTGAACTTTCCCCAAACATCTTCTTCTTCTGATCTTTACTTGAAAATGAATCCTTCAGGGTTTACAAGCTTAGAAGGATCTAACAATTATCAAACTGATAATTTTTCCAGTATGGACTTTTCTGGCCACATACAGAGTGGGTGTTCCAATAGTAAGAAGCTGAATACAGCAGTTGGTATTAGTAATCATCTCAGTAAAGGTTAGTGTATAATCTTGATGCCATTTATGCAATCTCTCTCTCTCTCTCTCTCTGTTTTTTTTTTTTTTTTTGGGCTAAGTTCAAATTTTCTTTCTCTAGAGAACCTTGGTTGGATTTTATTATTTACATACTTTTTCCATTTCAGGTTCAGGCTTTATTGGTGATCGAAATGGGCAAAATTTTAGTAGTAGTAATCAAGCAGGGTCTGATCTTCATTCGCTGCATATGGATCCACGTTATATTCAGTACTTGCAAAAAACTTCTGATTATGCAATGCATGCTGTAGCTTCCTCAGGTGATCATTCTCAAGGAAGGAATTATATTGGCACTTCCCATGATCATGGAGATTTGCAAAGGTTTCAGAAAGCTCATCTTGAGGAACTGCTTGCTCAACAGAAAAATCAGCATGAGTCATCACTTTTTCGTAAATCTGGTGGTTCGAATCATGGGTATTATGCAGATTCTGCTTTTGATATTGGCTTGCCATATCAAGGAAACCCTATGGCCAAGTCAGTATTTCCCTCTTTTGGATTTGGGGATCCTATATTTCAGAATGAACAGATCTCACACTTTCATTCTATGTTGAGAAGTTCAATGGGAGGATCTAGTGGGTCGTGCCATACAGATGTTGGAACTAACATGGAAGGTGCACTTGCGTCTTCTTTATTAGAAGAGCTCAAGAACAACAAGACCAGGTCTTTTGAACTCTCAGACATTGTTGGTAATGTAGTTGAATTCAGGTATGTAAGAAATGTTGTATAGGTTGTTTTATTTGACTCCTTTAGCTCCATCTTGTTTCGTGAGTTCCTTGTTTCTTGGTTTATAATGCAGTACGGATCAATATGGGAGTCGGTTTATTCAACAAAAGCTAGAAATTGCTACAGTGGAAGAAAAGACAGAGATATTCCCCAAGATCATTCCTCATGCTCGTGATTTGATGATAGATGTATTTGGGAATTATGTTATACAGAAAGTATGTGCTTCATCATCCAATTAACTTAAGAAATGTTCTGTTATTCTGAATTTATCACCTGATATACTTTGATATGCAGTTTTTTGAGCATGGCACAGACAGTCAAAGAAAGGAGCTAGCCAGCCAGATAACTGGTCATGTTTTTCCTCTGAGTCTTCAAATGTATGGTTGCAGAGTAATTCAGAAGGTGCATTCTTTAAGCTATGCCTTTTGGTTGTTTTTCTGCTTTCCCAGCACATGCATCTCTCTCTGGTGCAAGTTTGCACTATTTTGGTACCAGCGTATCATTTTGTGATGCCTCCTTATTGGTTTTTTAGCAGAAACAATTATGCATGCATTACTGGCATGCTTAGCCAAGAGGGAATTTGTTTTCCTCCCATGCAAGCCTTGCAGCATTTTAAAATTACCCCAATTTACTATTGCAACTGCTCCCCACCCAGTGTCTGCTTTAAAGCAGTTCATTCAGCAACAAATTCTGTGAGTATAGAGTGTAATGGACCTGATGAAGATCATGGAAAGAAGAAAAAGATCAAATCTGAAATTTCACATGAAGCACATTTAGGGTATCAAGAATTAAAGATTCAGAATTATTTTGAGTCTTCATGTCATTATAGTAGATTTTAGTAATTAAGGGTACAATGGTAATTCTAATAATTGTAGGACATGTGTTGTAGGGGTTGCCCATGGGTTTTCCTTTGGGTCAAGTTATTAAATGGGTCTTAGATATGGGTTTTATTATGTCTAAATAATCTTAGTGGTCAAAGTCCAAATTTCCTATTTTGATATTGAAGTAGAATTAAAAGTCATAAAAGTTTCCTATTATGATTGAAGTAGAATTGGAAGTCATAGTTGGCTTAGAATATTAGTAGTTGCTAAATATTTTTAGGTGCTAAGTTTGAGTTATAATCCTTATAGAATTATGAGAGTCTTTAGCCTATAAATAGATGTGTAATCTCAATGATTCGAGAAGAGTTAATTGTGAAATTTTGAGATTGTATTATCCCTTGTGAGGGTGAAGCATCCCCTCTCTCTCTCTCTCTCTCTCTCTCTTTTCTACTATCTAGTTACTGTTCACTTCACTGTTCATAGTGCTTAGAACAGCCACCCGACATCCCCTAAACACTTGTGTTTTCATTCCCAAAACCCTACCCTTTTACAAAGCCTTGAGCTCCTATTTTTTAAATACTTTTGCAACCACAAAATCCCACTAAATCTAACCCTATAAGTCTATTGTTGCTGCTACCAGTATACTTAACCCGGGCTTAGTACTTGTAGGAAAGTAATCCCTACTCGTACATCAGTTTGGTATTAGAGTTTCAAGATCCTACCTTGTTCGTTACCAATCTTTTGATGAAATTTCTTTCTTTATTACAATGCTGGCAAGCATTGAATTAAATTGGAATTTTGAAGCCTCATCAACAAATTATAGAGCTCCTAAGAAAGATGTTGCAATGTTAAAGGAGGATTTTGCGATAATTAAGGAGGATGTTGCTTTAGTTTTAAAGAAGAGAAGTTAGGGAATGAGTTAGACTTCATTCCCTTTTATATTGATAATTGAGCAATTACAGGCATAGTCTGAGTAATCAAAAAAGGAATGAATAAGAATACAACCAATTATTTCCTATTCTAATATTTCCTATTCTAACAATTTTCTATTCTAACACTCCCTCTCAAGCTGGTGCGAAAATATCTCTCATACCCAGCTTGTTGAGAATGCCATGAAAGGATTTGCTCTCTAGTCCCTTGGTGAGAACATCGGCTAGTTGGTCCCCAATCTTCACAAATGGAATACATATGGTACCACTAGTAAGTTTTTCCTTGATGAAGTGCCTATTAATCTCCACATGCTTGGTTCTATCATGCTGAACTGGATTATGAGCTATGTTGATTGCGGCTACAGTATAGTCGCATGGAGTCAGTCTGATGGATTCCCAAGTCTCCCAACAATAGTTTAATCCATAGTAACTCACATACACCTGAGTCATAGCCCTGAATTCTGCCTCAGCACTAGATCTAGCCACCACATTTTATTTCTTACTTCGCCATGTGACTAGGTTGCCACCCACAAATGTGCAGTATCTGGAAGTTGATCATCTGTCAGTGACTGATCCAGTCCAATCTGCATCAGTAAATGCCTCCACACTGAGATGGCCATGTTTGAGAAATAGAGACCCTTTCCAGGAGAAGACTTCAAGTATCTCCGAATTCTCATAACAGCCTCCAAGTGGGAAGTTCTAGGAGCATGCATAAACTGGCTCACTATGCTCACGGCAATGGCAATGTCTGGACGTGAGTGGGATACGTATATGAGCTTGCCTACTAGTCTTTGGTATCTCCTCCTGTCCACTGCATCTCCTACTTGATCCTTACTCAGTTTCTGGCCCGGTTCTAGAGGTGTATCACATGGTCTACCTCCAAGCATTCCAGTTTCCTTTAGCAAGTAAAGTACATACTTCCTCTGGCATATGAAGATGCCATCCTGGGACCGAGCTACTTCAATGCCCAAAAAGTACTTCAAATAGCCTAAGTCTTTGATTTCAAACTCTTTGGCTAAGTATTCTTTCAAACGAGGAATCTCCTCAACATCATCTCATGTCATAATTCATCTTAGCAACCGGTGTAAATGTTTCTTGGTAATCCATCCCATAAATCTGGGTGAAGCCCTTAGCAACCAGTCTTGCTTTGTATCGTTCTATGGAACTATCTGCTTTTATTTTACTGTGTACACCCACTTACACCCAACTGGATTTTTAACTCTAGATAACTCCACTAACTCCTAAGTGTCACTCTTGCTAAGAGCTCTCATCTCTTCCATCATGGCATGTTTCCTTTCAGGATTAGAAAGAGCATCCTGAAAATTGGTAGGTAGATTCACAGAAGACACTTTGGACAGAAAAGCTTTATATGAGAAAGACATATGAGAATAAGAGACATGATTACTAATAGGATACTGAGTACATGACCTAACCCCCTTCCTATTAGCAATGGGAACATCAAGGTCTGAAAAAGCAGGAATAAAAGTACTAGAATCAGAATTACCTGGACTCTTAGTAGAGGTGGGTGACTCTGGACACTCATTCGGAGAAGAAGTTGGCAGTTGAGAAAGAAAAGTAGTCTTTTGCATCCAGGTGACTTGCTGTTTGTCCTTGTCCCTGATATAAACTTTGCTTGCTTGCTTGCTTCCTTTTCCTCAACAGCTGCTGGCTCATCATCCTCTATCTGTTTAACAGGAACAGGAATCTCTTCACACCAAGACTCCCCCTGAAGGGATGACTGTGATACCGGGGGGATCGGAAAATAGGGCTGAGACTCAAAGATAAAAGATTAACACCAAAATTTGGAACATGGAGGACAGAGGACAAAGGGAGGAAAGAGGTAGCATGAATTAAACCTTTCCTGGACACCGATAACATAGTACCATCATCAATACGCATTTTTTCCTGACTGGACGAGGGGTTATACTCTGAAAATAAATTAGAGGAGCCAGACATATGGTCGGAAGCACCAGAATCAATAATCCATGGTACAGTCGTAGGAAAGAGCAATGCACACGGGGAGGAAGCCAAGTTACCTGAATTGGCAAAAGAAGAAGAGGGTGCACCTGTAGCAGAAGTGGAGGCTCGACGGTCCAGCAAGTAGCGAAGAGCAATCTCAAAATCCGAGGCAGATAACCCCGAAACATCAGCAGCCGGAGAGACAACTGAAGAAGAAGGTGGTGGCTCAACAGTGTCTGAAAGATGTGCCTAAGCATTAGCCCCTCGGCCTCTAGACTGGCCAGAACCTACCCCCTCGAGTACCAGGACGGTCTTCTCGGCCACCAGAAGGAGTCCCATGTAGCTTCTAGCGGGTCTCTTATGTGTGGCGAGGTCGACGGCAGTAGTCACAGAAAAGATTATCCTTCTCAGAGGAAGAACGAGAACCACAAGTCATACAGTCTCCATCGTGAGGGGGTGCAGAAACTAAGGCCGAGCGATCAGGAGTAGTAGAAGGAAGCATCGCAGAGCGGCGACTCTCCTCATTCTGCACAAAAGCAAAGGCTTCTTGAAGAGAAGGAAGTACATCCATGCCAAGTACTCTGCTTTGAACGGGATCTGTTAAAACCTATCACCTACTTCACACGGTCTCCATTACAGAAACCAAGGCTGAGCGATCAGTAATAGTAGAAGGAAGCATCGCAGAGTGGCTACTCTCCTCATTCTGCACAAAAGCAAAGGCTTCTTGAAGAGAAGGAAGTACATCCATGCCAAGTACTCTGCTTTGAACGGGATCATACTCCACATTAAGGCCTTCCAAGAACTTGAAGACCCTCTCTTGCGCTACAAATGTCCAGTAACCAACAGAATCAGTGGGACTGACAGGTTTGTAATCCTGAAGGTGATCAAGTCGCTTCCACCCATTACTAAGGAAGGTAAAATATTTTGGAGGATCGTCATCTCACCTTGTACCGTCCTTTTAATGGTGCGACGTAACTTGAAAGCCTGTGAGAAGTTCCCCTTTCGGGAGTAAGTGGTAGTCACGGCCTCCCAAATATCACGTGCAGTGTCCATAGAGAGATAGCCCTCTCCAATCTCCGGAACCATAGAATTTATCAACCAACCCATAATAAGGGAGTTGGTGATCTCCCACTGATCATAACTCGGGTCTGTGGTGAGGGGTGCTTGGATTCTGCCATCAACATACCCCATCTTTCCTCTGCTCTTCAAGAAAATAGTCAGACTCTGCGACCACGCTAGATAGTTCTGACCATTGAATAAAGAAGTGGTGATTTTAAGGCTAGGGTTGAGATTATCGGTCATAGTAGAAGGGATAAGGGAACTCTCGCTCTTAGGTGGCTGAGAGGTTGTGGACTCACTAGTGAAATCTGTCATGAATATTCTACTAAGTAACCCTCAAACCCAGTACCAATCACAAACTCGGAAGATAGTAGAGGAATAGCAATCACTATGACCACAAAAAGATCAGCAAAGAATATATATATATACATATATATTTTAACTAACCAACCATTATAACTTTATAAGAAAAGAGAGAGAGAGTAGAACACTGAGAGAGAGACGACAATCGAGAGAGACGACACTACAAGAGAGAGTCGATGACAGCCTAGGAGATGCCGACAGAAGCCAAGGAAGCTAGAGGGGCTATCAACAGGCCCTAGGGTGCCTTTCGATGGCCTAGGTGAAGCCCTAG